ACAATAATTTGGTAGATAATTATATGATTTACATATAAACAAAAGACTGGTAAATGTGAGTGGTGTATTTTTGTGTGGTAGGTTTGCAATTTGGGTTGAAATCATAGGACACACTGTTGCTTCTTCACTAACTTTTGTTTTGTTTTTCCATAGGACTCACTTGGATATCTCACTCAAGGTAACAAAAACTCTCCTCATGGGTTCATTTGTATTTTGCAATGTATTTGGTCTTTATTGTTTCACTAGTATTTTTATTTTCTTAGTTTAATTGAGCTGTTTCCTTTTTTCTTTGATCTCTTACTCACTTTTAGGCATAGCCAGACTCGTGACCGAGTACATGACCGGAACTTGAAGAATATGTACCTGCCTCCTTCCTTACCTCCCAACAAAGCTGCCACTGTGAAATCTTCGGGGAGCACCCCAGCTGAGCCTGAAGAGCTCCCAACTCCCATGGCCCCGGCACTCCCATCACCAGCTTCAACTGCAACCCCACCCCCCACCCCCAGCCAGCCCCTGCCTGTAGCTCTTCCACCATTGGCTTTGGAGGAGGCTGAATGTCTGAATGTTGATGACCAGGATGAGGGGAGTCCAGTCACTCAGGAACCTGAGCCAACGTCTGGTGGGGGTAGTAGCAGTGGAGTTGGCAAGAAGGAACAGCTGTCTGTGAAGAAGCTTCGAGTAGTACTGTTTGCCCTATGTTGCAACACAGAACAGGCAGCTGAGCACTTCCGAAACCCCCAGCGACGTATTCGGCGTTGGCTTCGGCGCTTCCAAGCCTCCCAGGGGGAGAATCTAGAAGGCAAATATCTGAGCTTAGAGGCAGAAGAGAAACTGGCTGAGTGGGTGCTGACTCAGCGTGAGCAACAGCTACCTGTAAATGAGGAGACCTTGTTCCAGAAGGCCACCAAAATAGGACGTTCTTTGGAGGGGGGTTTTAAGATCTCCTATGAATGGGCTGTGCGCTTCATGCTCCGGCACCACCTGACTCCCCACGCACGGCGAGCTGTGGCCCACACCCTACCCAAGGATGTGGCAGAGAATGCAGGACTCTTTATTGAATTTGTGCAACGGCAGATTCACAACCAGGACTTACCCTTGTCTATGATTGTGGCTATTGATGAGCTCTCCTTGTTCCTGGATACAGAGGTGCTGAGCAGTGATGATCGAAAGGAGAATGCCCTGCAGACAGTGGGCACGGGGGAGCCCTGGTGTGATGTGGTGCTGGCCATTCTGGCAGATGGCACCGTCCTCCCCACCCTGGTTTTCTACCGGGGGCAAATAGATGCACCTGCTAATGTGCCGGACTCTATATTGTTAGAGGCAAAGGAGAGTGGCTACAGTGATGATGAGATCATGGAGCTGTGGTCAACCAGAGTATGGCAGAAGCACACAGCTTGCCAGCGCAGCAAAGGCATGCTCGTGATGGACTGTCATCGCACTCACTTGTCAGAAGAAGTACTGGGTATGCTTAGTGCCTCTAGCACTTTGCCTGCAGTGGTCCCAGCAGGCTGTAGCTCCAAAATCCAGCCGTTAGATGTATGTATCAAACGAACTGTCAAGAACTTCCTGCATAAAAAGTGGAAAGAGCAGGCTAGGGAGATGGCAGATACTGCATGTGATTCTGATGTCCTGCTGCAGCTGGTGTTGGTCTGGCTGGGCGAGGTGCTGGGCATCATTGGGGACTGTCCAGAGTTAGTTCAGCGATCCTTCCTTGTAGCTAGCGTTCTGCCTGGCCCTGATGGTAACATGAACTCACCTACCAGAAATGCTGACATACAGGAGGAGCTAATTGCCTCTCTAGAGGAACAACTGAAGCTGAGTGGGGAACAATCTGAGGAGCCCTCAGCTTCCACTCCCCGGCCTAGATCATCTCCTGAAGAGACAATTGAGCCTGAAAGCCTTCACCAGCTTTTTGAGGGTGAAAGTGAAACCGAATCTTTCTATGGCTTTGAAGAAGCTGACCTAGATCTGATGGAGATTTGAGTGCTGGGCCATGAGGTGGGGGTATGGAGCTAGGGTAGGAAAGCGTGAGGGGGAGGGATTTAGGGAAAAGGGGGTATACCCGGTGGGGTATTTGATTTCTATTTTAAATTTTTATGCCACCACTTCCCCCAATGTTGACTTAAACTTCCCTGTGAATTTGTGGATTATTAGACAAACTAATAGTTATTACATCTGAGCTGAGGAGCTGGCTCATGTCTACTATAACAGGTTTTTGTGACTTTTTTTAAAAAAGAAAATCACTGTTTGGTATTTTTCTGACAAAATCAAGAAAAAGGAAAAAAAAAATCCTTCGTGGGTGAATGTTAAAAGTTTTGAGTTTCCCCTCTTACCTCAATTGTATCATAGTACTTCCGAATTTTTTGTTTTACTGTGTGGTCAATGTCTGGGCATGATGCTATCTAACCATTGTCAACGTGAGAACATTTCTGAAGATGGGAAAGACAAATAATGTAGCTCATAAACTGGTTTATTATATATATATGGATAAAAAACTTTTTTCATTGTGGTCTTAACACTTTTATATAAAAATGAAAATGGAAAAAAAAATCCCACTGAACTCTCTTCCTTCTCCTTTTCTTTCCTTCCCTCTCCAGAGATGTTGATTTCTACAACTCTAAAATTGTGGCTTTAAAAATGCATGAAACCACCTTTAATCCTTCAGAATGACAAATAGATTTGTCTTTTCTCACCACCCTTCTCCCTCCAACACATCACAATCCTTGACCCCTTCCCTCATTTTCACACCATCACTCTGGAAAGGATCTGAGCGTGTTATTAGCAAGAAAGAAGTAATGAGGTGCTTGGACTGTTAGGGGTAGAAGCCATTCCCAACTTAAGAGTCTGCATCCTGCAAGCTCCCAAGGGCAATCTACTTTTTTTGAACGTTACCCTTTACAGTGGACAGCATGCCTGTTCAGGAGATCAGATGTCCTACACCCAGGAGCTGATGTGCAAAAGATTAAGTGTTGAACTTTAAAATGACAGACTACTTGTTGAAGTCCTGCTTTACCCTGTGGCTTTCCTGTTTTTCTCTTAAGCTTAGAGGAGAATCTTGACATGAAGAAACACACCAAGGTGTGCATAAAGACATGAATCTTTATTTTTCACTGCCAGCTTCAATGAAAGAAAAAGTTTTTTCTACAATTTGCATGTGAGGGAATTTTTTAAATGGTATGTACTTAATGGCTATAAACTGAAACATACTGTAATATACAGGGGAAAAAAAGGAGCAAGAAATCAAGTCCACCTTTCTCATGGCTATACCACTCTTGTGTCCATCCTGAGGCTTTCAGCAACATTTTCATTCTGTGAGCCAAGGAGGGGCAACCTGCACAGGCTTGTAAATGGTTCATCTTAAAATGTACAGAAGTGGAACATTTAATAAAATGAGGGGAGATGGATTTATAAACATTGTTTTTTCTAGGTGACCCTGCTTAATGAGACTGGGAGATGCTTCAAGATGTGATGGGCCTATTGGTACAGGTGTGACATTGTTGCTACCTGTTTCTCCTCCCTTTTTTAAAAAAAGAATGCCCAGGACACTATAATATAGTGAACTGGCGTGATTTTTCACAGAAACAGCTTGGTCACAACTTGGTCAGCTTTGTGAATCCATGACATCTGGAAACTGAAATGAAGATCAGTCTGGGCCCTTCTTCCCCAGCTTTTTGCCCAATTGTCATTTTGCCAGAATATGGACTTTGAAGTCAACCCTTTGCTTTTGAGAAAGTTCAAGAACTATTGATTGGTTAACTCCATCTACAAGGACCTAATCACTGGTAGTCTCCACGGCAGCCACAGCCTTAGCAGAGCTGGGTTCCTGGCCTCTGCACACTATTTGACTTTCTTGATGGGTAGTTTTTTAAAGACTATAATACCAACTGGATCAGCTGGGCTTTGGCCAGGAAGTTATCTTTGTGGACTCTGCCTGCATGGCTTAGTAGTAGAAGGAAATTTTTTTTTGTTTTTTTTTTTTTATATATATATATAATTCAGTTTAATCAATAAACCAAGTATTTATTGACTACTTTCTGTGTTGAGACTAAATGTGTAGCTTCAAACTGAAAACTTTTCTTTTGCTTCATGTTCTAGTTGTAATGGATAAACAGGAATGTTTCCATTTCTCCCTCTTCCACCTCACTGAATTTCTATAACATTGTGGGTTTGCTCTATATACCAGTTTCTCAAGTTTGGAGAGACGTATCAGAAAAACCTATAGGGTCTTCATTTGTAAATTTTAAGTTTGGTACCATTTTGGTGAGGAAACTGAATTGACTCAGCCCTATATACCATACCAATAACTTTTCAATGAACATTGAATACTTACAAGTTTTCTAACAAACATTTAAGTGTTTAAAATGTATTTTCTGTATGAAGGTGGGTAGATGTGTGAAGAACTGAGGCTGCCACTTCCAGCTTGGGGGTAACCTTATACAGAGCATTTGTATGTTGGAAATGCTGTTTTAGTTAAAATCGTATTTGCAGCCATCAACTAGAAAATAATTCCTTTAAGTCTAGTGCAGTAGGGAAAAATGTTTAAAAAACCAAAAACCAATTATCACTCAAAAATTAGCCTGGCTGGTCTGTACACAATGTTGCTTGCAGGCCCAAATGAAGCTATAGAGGGTCTTCTATACTGGTATTTGCTATGAGAAAGAGCCTAAGGGTTCTTGGACCAGAGAGATGACATAGAATTCTTGATTTCACTCTTGGTGTGACCAGTCAGAGACACAATGAAATCACTCAGCAAGCATTTCAAAGGACTTAATTTATTTTACAAAAGAAAAATACCTGTGAACCAAACAAGTTCAAAGATAAAAGAAGGGTACAGCTTCAGTCCTGGATAATGCATCTGTATTTACTCAAAGCCACTGAAAAGGAAAAGCATAATACAGCTGTCAAGCCATAGAGAGGAGTCAATTCCCTCTACCTTGCAACCCAAACCCTTGTCACCCAGAGAGATTTTCTGGTTGAAACCTTAAAAAAAAAACCGAGCTTAGGACAAGCTAAGGTGTCATTCAGTACTTCTGTCACCTATTTTTTCTAACAATTTTCATTTCAGTTACCTGATCATGTGGGCAATATCCCAGTTGGTCTCAGCAGACAGTGGTCCCTCTATTTCAACACCTTTTTCTGTTACTATGGCAATTTGAAACTGAAAGCAAGCAGAGCAACTCAATGAGAAATGCTGTCCCCACATAAGTGAAGTGCTTGGGACCTGGTGAAAGGTCAAGTAAAGTGTCTAAATGTAGAAGACAGGTGAGGCAATTTTCTTCTACACTATAGAGACCCAGAGTGGAACTGCAAATATCCAGAGCCAGCGTCTTTACTCCTCACATCCCTACTCACCCGATTGTAAGAACGGGCATCTCGATAGTATAGCACTCGCATGCAGCGTTCCACTAGCTCTCGAGCTTCAGTCTGGCTCAGCACTGGCTGCTTCTCCAGAATGTCTCGCAACAGAGGCTACGGAGATAGGGAGGAAAAACACAGGATCTATTAGGGCTGAAAAACAGCAAGGTTGTCTCAAACCCATAGTAAATGAGTAAAAAGTTACAGTCCACCTACTGCCTTACAAGAATAACTGTTACTTGTGTTCTGACCCACTTGAAGGAGTTCTGGGGCGTCTTCTCTTCACAAGTCTACTATGTAGTCTTTTATCATTAGACTATCAGAATTACATAGAAAACCATCTGCTCAGTAACAGAGATGCTAGCTTGTTCTTCGTGTCAAGATTCCAGGGGATTAACTACCACCCACAAACCCACATTGCCTTCTGTCTCCCCTCACCCCTACCTTTCAGATGAACTTACCTGAGCCAAGTATGCACCATAACCAGTGGCCAGCGATGGAGCTTCATAGGCTACACCAAGCATGTCCACATAACCGAGGAAACTAACAAGACATAATGGGTTATAAAACTCATTTCATCTTAAAGTACTTAAAGGATGGACTAAAGGTCTAGGTTAAAAATGGGCTCTGGTAGCATAGTAGTTAGAATCGGGCTGCAAACCTCAAGGTCAGCAGTTCGAAACTACCAGCTGTTGTGCAGGAACCACGACTTAACAATAAAGGGAAAAGACAACATAGGTGCTAGTTGGGGAGTTAAAGTAAATTATGTGTATTCATATAAACCTCTCTCCATCAGCATAGCCTCCAATGACCATGGTGTTCCAAAGCGGGTTCATCTTGGAGCGGCGGCTATACATGGCTCTGGTCAGCCATGAATGAATAGCTCTTGGACTATAGCTGTGTCCATCTCCCAACAGCTCTTCATCAATCCTTAAAAGAAACTGATTGTAAGAAAAAGGAGAAATCTCGATGTCACCCCCCCCCAAATAAATTTCCACAATCTTCTCCATGTATTATACCTTCTAATGTTAAACACTATAAATAGGCACATTATCTTCTTACACCCTCTCCTCCCGGAAGCCTTCTTAGGTTATTCCTATCTCAAATTGGAAAATGACTTACACCATCTGGCCGAGAACTTGCTTCAAATACTGGAAATCTGCATAGTCCCCCGAGGCACCCAGCATGGTGCTGTTGTTAACTTGCATAATGCGAGAGATGTTGCGGAAACGAGCCAAGGAGCCATAGGAGCCCAGCATATCAGCAGCAATCACCACTCCGCCCTCGAACTTAACACCAAGGACCGAGGTGCCAGTCACCATAGGGTTCCTGGAGAATGAGTATGGTTTGGTGAGGGGCAGCACGGAGGTGCAGCCTGCGCGCCCGTTAAATACCGCGCTCGGAGACCTGCTTCTAATTTTCTGGGGCTCCCTCCAATTATTCTGTAGCCTCCGGAACTCTGTGCTGGGGACTCCCCTCCCGTTAGCGCGCCACCCAGTCCTCCCTTCGAGCTCCTTCAAAACCGGCCGAAGGCACCAGGCCCCACGGTCCCTCCCCCATCGCGAGCTAAGGCGCCGTGAACTTACTGGGTCCGCGTAATCGGCATCCCGTAGGGCGCGGACGCCGGACCCACGAAGGAACCGGGAGTAGACGGAATGCGGTAAAACTGCCCCGGGACCGGGCCACTGGCCCAAAGTCCGGACCGCGACTCTAAGAACGCTTCCATCTTAGTCACGGTTGCAGAAAAAAAATGAAACCAACGGCGCCGACGGAAGCGGAAGTGGTTCGCCAATGCCACACCTTTCTTCTTCCTGCAGGTTACCTCTAGCCGCCATGTTGGTGAGGTCATTGCCGACGAAACCATGACGGCTCCTACTTGTTATGTGCCGTGGAGTAGGTTAGCGACCCTGTACAGAGTTTCCGAGGCTGTAAATCTTAACGGGAGCAGAAAGCCTCATCTTTCTCCCGCGGAGCAGCTGGTAGTTTCGAACTGCTGACCTTGCGGTTCGCAGCGTGATTCGTAAGCACTAAGCTACCAGAGCTCTTTAGAGCTGTAATATCCAACATCGCAGTTAGTCAGCGGTAGAATTTCGGCTAGATCAGAGTTTTCTGACACGCAAATTCAACAGGAAGTACGCTTGAGCAAGAAAGCAGCAGGTCTCATGTCCCTTTTGAGTCATTAATTTTTAAAGTTCTACTTGCAAAGCTCTGATAGCGTAGTGGTTACGAATCGGGCTACGAACCACAAGGTCAGCAGTTCGGAACTACCAGCTGTTCCGCGGGAGAAAGATAAGGCTTTCTGCTCCCGTAAAGATTTACAACCTTGGGAACCCAACACCAGATGAACTATGAGTTGGAACCGACTCCACGGCGCATAACCAACCAACCTGCAAATAACAGTGAACTCCTACATTTGTTCTCAGAGTAGCTCCAAACTAGTAGGCATTAATTGACCCATTTTACAAATAAGACACAGAGGCTGATGGTTATGTAGTTTAATCACATATCCAATAATAGCAGAACAAAATCTTAAAATCTAGAATAAAAAAGGAATCTCACAGTTGTGCAGATATTGTACTGTACAATATCATAGAAAGTGGTGTATTAAAAGCTCCTATAATTGTAGAGTTGTCTATTTCTTTCCTCAGTTCTAGTAGAGTTTTGATTTATGTATTTTGAGGTTCTTTTTTTGTTTGTTTGGTTTTTTTTTTTAATGTTTTATTGTGAATTATATGATAGTTTATATGAGAGAACTTTAGTTTTACATTCATTCTATCGTATATCGTTTCATTGCCATGGTTCCAATCCCCTCCATGCAATCTTATATAGGAGAATCTTATGTAGGAGAAAGATACATTCTTGCTGACCTATAGACTAACTGTGCAGGGAGTGTGCCAGAACAAGAATGTAATGTCTGTCTCTTCCATCATCAGCAAGTTCAAGTTAGGTCCATACTGTTAACTTGTACCAATGGAAAGCTATTTGGATCTTTCAGTGCAAAGAGAGGAAGACAAGGGAGGAGAAGATGAGGTGAGATTCAATGTCCTTTGATAGAGTGTAGAAGTTTCTGGTTGGAAAAGCACAATGGACACTTTCAGCTGAATGATGGAAGAAAACAACCCCAAAGTTGTCTGCCTTAGGATGCTATGCCCAGCATCCCCCAGTCACAAGAACATTCTTGTTCACAAACAATACTACCTCCTCAGCTTTGCTTTTGACTTTCATTAGGTATTTGGTTACTCTTACAGATTTTCAGCTGTTCCTTGGCTTTCTTCATACACTTCATATCTACTCACTGCCAGTCAACCTTGATGTAGCCAGTATGGTTGGCAAACTGAAGCAGGAAAAATCCACCACCTACAGTTAGCTGTTGCTGCTAACTTCCCAACCTCCTGGAATATGAAGCCATCATCTAGTGATGCCTCCAGTGAGGAGCTGTGTGGCCACACAACGCTTTTTGGAAGAGGGTCAAGATTTTTGTGCCATCAAGGCTGATTCTTAGCAAATTCTGCGAGGTCCAGCAACTCAAAATTTCTCTCAAAGTTTCCTTGACTGGATGCAGCCATTTCAGTGAGCTTGTCTCATGAGGACAAGGGTCTCTAAGAAAAAGTATTCTTGATAAGAGAAACATTCCATGATGGTTATCTGGTTACCCAGGGTAGGGTTGAGTTGTTGTTGTGAAGTGCTGTCAAGTCAGTTCTGACCCACAGCGAGAGTTTACAGTTCAAACAGCTTTGCAGTCTGCTGCATTAACCCACAGCGCCACACCAGGATTCCAGGGTAGGGCTGGGGAGAGGGAAAATTATTAATGGGCTAAAGGTCAGCACGAGAAGACAAAGTTAAATATTACAGTAAACTGTGCAAAAATCTGGAGTCAGAAAACCAAAAGGGAAGAACACGCTCAGCATTTCTCAAGCTGGAGAAACTGAAGAAAAAATTCAAGTCTTGACTTTTGTTATTGAAGGATTCCCTGGGCAAATTATTGAAGGATGCAGAAAGCATCAAAAGAAGATGGAAGGAATACACAGAGTCACTGTACTAAAAGGAGATGGTTGGTATTCAACTGTTTCAAGAGGTAGAATATGATCAAGAGCCAACGGTATTAAAGGAAGAAGTCCAAGGTGCATTTAAAGAATTGGCAAAGAAGAAGGCACCAGGAATTGATGGAATAAAAATTGAAATCTTTCAAGAAAATGAGGCGGCACTGAAGGCACTCACTCATCTATGCCTCTTGGAAGGTAACTTGAAAGATAACTATCTGGCCAACTGATTGGAAGAGATCTGTATTTATGCCCATTCCAAAGTGAGGTAACCCAATGAAATCATCAGACAATATCTTTGATATCCCATGCAAGTAAAATTTTACTAAAGGCAATACAGAAATGGCTGCAAGCATAAATTGACAGAGAACTTCCAGAGGTTCAGGCTGGATTTAGAAGAGGTCGTGGAACAAGGTATATCATTGCTGATGTCCAGAAGATCTTGGCTGAAAACAGAGAATATCAGAAAGATGTCTACCTGTGCTTTTTTGACTACACAAAGGCTTTCGATTGTGTGGACTATGACAAGCTATGGACAACATTGTGAAGTATGAGTATTCTGGAACACTTAATTGTGCTCATGAGGAATCTGTACATGGATCAAGAGATCCACATTCAAACAGAACATGGGAACACTGAATCGTTTAAAATTAAAAAGGTGTGCAACAGGGTTGTATTCTTTCACCATACTTATTCAACCTGTAAACTGAGCAAATAATCCAAGAAGATGGGTTATATGAAGGAAAATGTGGCATCAGGATTGGGGAAAGACTCATTAATAACCTGCGATGCGCAGATGATACAACCTTGCTTGCTGAAAGTGAAAAGGACTTAGAACATTTGCTGATGAAGATCAAAGAGCACAGCCTTTGGTATGGGTTGCATCTCAATATAAAGAAAACAAAAATCCTCACCACTAGACTAATAAACAACGTTATTATCAACGGAGAAAAGATTGAAGTTTTCAAGGACTTCATTCTTCTTGGATCAACTATCAACACTCATGGAAGCAACCAACAGTCAAGAGATCAAATGATGTATTGCATTAGGCAAATCTGTTGCACAAGACCTTTTAAAGTATTGAAGAGCAAAGATGTCAGTGTGAAGACTAAGGTACGCCTGACCCAAGCCTGGTATTTTCAATAACCACATACGCATGTGAAATCTGGACAGTGACTAAGGAAGACTAGAATAATTGATGCACTGAGTTATGTTGTTGGAGGAGAACATTGAAAGTACCATGAGCTGCCAAAAGAACAAACAGATCTTTGTTGGAAGAAGTGCAGCCAGAGTGCTCCTTGGAGGCCAAGATGGCCAAACTTTGTCTTTCATACTTCAGACATATTATCAGGAGAGACCAGTCTCTGGAGGAGCATATCATGTTTGGTAAGGTGGAGGGTCAGAGAAAAAGAGGAAGACCCCCAGTGACATGGATTGGCAAAGTGAGATGGATTGGCAGCATCAATGGACTCAAACATGGCAACAGTTTTGAGGTTGGCCCAGGACCAGGCAGTGTTTTGTTCTGTTGTGTATAGGGTCGCTATGTGTCAGTTCTGACTCCATGGCGCCTAACAACAACACTGTTACCATGGGTGACAGTGAAGGCACTATACAACAAGAGCTAAGTTGGTAGAGGAAAGATGAAGGTACCATGAGACACAGGGAGGAATGCAAGTATTAAAGTGAATAGAGATAAATACTGTTAACTGATGGTACATGAATGGGATTGCAATCATTGTAATAAAGCAATGTACATGATTTGTGAGATGTAAAATTGATTATATGCTCTATAAGCCTTAGCTCAACTTACAATGAAAAGTAAGTTCATTTAACAAATGGATGTCTGAAAAGATCATTCAAAAATGGTTGCAACAAGACCTGGGGACTCTTGGGCCTAGAGTCAGTGAGT